TGTTGGGGAGAGGGGATTGTAGATATTCGTGTGGCTCTTGTCTGATTTGGGGTGGATTCCATGCTTTTGGGGTCTCCCTTCTTTTTGCCCAGGGCCTGAATGTTAGAGCTTGCAGGGCAGGCCAAGGATGAAGACTGCGAGGTAGCTTAAGCTTAGGGCGAGCCGTGGAGCTCGACTGGCAGCCGCTTCGAGGCCCTTGAAGCCGTGTCGCTGCTGCGGTCCCTGGCCGGCGTTTCCTGCCGCTGGGGGCCCAGCCAGAGGCGCGCGCCCGCGTGCATAGGACTGCAAGCTGGGCTCTTTGAGAAGCAAAGGCCTGGCCATTTTCCCAGGAAGCTTTTGATTGAGACTCACTTCCTGAGTTCCGTTTCGGACTTTAGTCACTCTTTGTGGTTGGACCATTTTAGTGGTAAACAATCAGTTTGGACCTTGCCTGACCAATCCAGTCAGGAAGTGAGTTGAGCTGTCTGTCTTTGCAGTGAGGTCATCGCAAGGCGCTGCGCGCGCTCGAGCTCTTCCCGCCATTGAGGCGTGCGTGAACGCACTCCGAGAGTGGCGAAGCGGCTATTGTGTACAGGCTGAAGAAGGAACTTGTAGCAAACCTGCCAAGCAGTGGCTTGCACGAGCATCCATCATCCACAGTCAACAGTTGGTGTGACAACCCGACCTTTCCCCCTTGCACCATATTTCAAATCAACGTGTGGTTGTAAAATGTGACGTCGTTAGGCGCATCAAGGGCGTGTTGATCTTGTTTTGCGCATCTGCATGTCCTTGAACAATATGGTTGAGTTTCCAACAAATGTCCGCCCCCCCCCCAAAAAAAAAAATGAAAGGGACAAAACAAAACGTATCGTCCCCACCCACCCACCCCACCCCCCGCCCGCGAAAGAAAACAGCAGGTCCTTTCCCCCCCCCCAAGAAAAAGAAGAGAAAATAACATAACTATACATATTGATGATAAAAGATATCAACAGGGAAGTCTTGGGCTCTAGCGGGAAATCTTGGGGCGTTTCAGTGAGGCAGGACTTGCGGCCCGGGGAGGCGCTTCGGCTGCTGGTCGCCTGCGGCCAGCGCCGCGGACCGGTTTGGGGGGCTTTGGTCGAGGCGTTGGGGGGAACCCTTCCCTTTGCGAAAAATCGGTGTTTTGGTCACCAGAGAGAGTTGTTTGTTTGTTTTTTGGTGTGTGTGTGTTGCGAAAAATCCGCTTTGGTTGATGCAGTTTGATTTTTCCAATAAAGGTCTTGTAACAAGGGATTCTTGCTGTGGATGATACAAAGTCCCTTTCTGGTCAGAAAAAATATACTGTTGATCACCCTTTCTCCAGAAAGACACAAAAAGGTCTTGTAACAAGGGCGTCTTGCTGTGGATGGTTGCGAAATCCAGACATCGCACCACTTGGAAAAGTTCAGAGAGACCATTGTTCCTTGGTATTTAGCTTGGGGAATCGACTCATTCCAGGATTCGTCGATAGTGCATCCACAGTAGGGAAGATGCAGTGGATGGTGGCGAAGTCCATATTTCTTGACGGTTGGTTGAGATCAAGCTGGTTTTGCACTTTAGAGACTTGGGGGGAGCGCCCATTCAAACCTTTCATCACCCTATGGAGGGTCCACTCTGAACTCCGATCAAGGTGTAGGAGCCCATCCTTGGAACAGCCAGGTGTCTTTGGCTCGTTGGGGCTCTTGTCTTTAGCATAGTAACTCTTCGGCAACTCTTGTACTGGTTCATGTGGTGTAGTTCTGGTTTGCGTCCCGTTCTCATGGTCGTTTTAGTATCGTCGTGCCTGTCGTGACTGTCGTGGTGTTTGTTTTGCTGGTGCGCGTGGTGCCGGTGTCGCGGTTCTGCTGGTGTCGTCGCTATGATTTGTTCGCGTTGCATACAATGGAGTCCTGGCCTTGGCTCAAGCTTCCTGTTTCACCCAGGCAACATGGCTACATGGGGGTTCTCGGTTTCCCTAGGGACCAGGAAGGCGGTTGGTCTAAAGTCCTGTCCAGTGGCAAGGAAATCGACACTCCAAGCCGCCCCTATGCCAAGCTTCGAATTCACTGAATAGATACATGAGAATCGTGCTCAGAAGGCTTGGGGACCCTTTGCGCGCTCATACTGCTTAGGAGGGGAATCAGTTCCTGTTCACTTGCCCAGACACTTCAAAATTAAGCCATACCTACATTTGCTCCACGAAAATACTGCATGTTGCTAAAGATTGAGTACGTGCGGCCGCTCCGCTTTGCATGTCGTGGCATGCTTTGGACACGGCTGATTCTGCTGCCTTGCAGCAGAAGACACGCCAAAGCTTTGCTCACCTACTTGCTGGAATTTGTGCAATGGATAGGGGAAGAAGAGCCACACACGTGTATTCTTGGTTCCTAGAGAAAGGGGAAATTCTGGCAAAAAAGTGGTTGCCCGTGTCCAGCCCATTGACCATGACGCTCTGCAAGAACTCTCCCAAATTCTAGCCCGGCCAATCAACTGAGCTGAGAACATGAGTGAAGGACAGATGAAGACTCAAATAAAAGCAGCGCACCCGGTTTCCCTAAGGTCAGAGAAGACAAGTTCGGCGACAAGCAAGGCCCGCAGGGTACACAAAGCCTGCGCGCAGTAACTAGACGTCGAGTGTTCCTCAACAGGGCAGAAGCTAGCACGTCCCCAGTCAATTTGAGTGAAGACCTACGCGCTGGTGCGGCATGTTTGACCCAGATACTAAATGTTGAGAATGAATAGTGAAACTAACAGGCTATGTAATAGTCATGTTCGAAGTAGAAATAACTTTTGTAGAACACATGGTGATAGTATATTACATCCATAAATATCTAAGTTTATATCTCATAGTTAGTTGTACTAGGTTCTAGGTCTTTATGCTGTGTTATTAGTACGCTAGAAGGACACTTTGCGGGGGCCGGAGCTTTCGGCGGTTCGCACAGGCGCGCGGAAAAGAGACCAGCATCGTTGCCTGGATGCAGTGTCATTCATTCTGGAGGGGGGCTTGCTGGTGAAAATGGCCGTGTAAAACAACTCATTCAGGGCTCCAGGTGTCAACTTCCAGGGTACTATTTTTTTTTCTGACATTTTTCAGGCAACTGTCAGGTGGAGCCATGACTAGACTGGGACGGGGTATTTTGAAAGGAAGAAGCTGCTTCACGACTCGTTTGTCCCAGTTCGGCGTGCGTTCGCAATGTTCACGAAAACATGGATGCGTACCAATGGATGCTCCCAAATATATTTTTCAGGACCAGCAACAAGTGGTGGTTCTCCTTGTGGTTTCTCTTTCAAGCCGAAGGTTGGCGCTAAAGTTAATTGAAGCACCTCATTGCTTTTGAAGGCCCAGGGATTCTCCTGGTTTCCCCCAGACCTTGGGCTGTGTTTTGGGTCTTATTTGGGGGAAGCAGGGAGGGGGGTTGGCTGGCTGCCCGCATTTGCCATCCGATTTGAGGCAGCACCAGCATTCCAGTTTCTGCGAAGGCAAGAGTCAGCAGCCGGTCCGTGTTTGGTGGCTTTCTGGAAAGAAGGATCCCTGGAAATGCGGAAATGCATGAGATGCCGGGAAATGATTCACGAACATCCAGAAACAACTTTGTTATTTTGGAATCGCAGATCGGAGGTCTTCACTTCCGGTCTTGCCACCGGGTCCCACTGGGTTTTGAGTCGCAGGGATTTGACTATGCAGGGGTCCAACTGTACTCCCCCCTTTGCGGGCGTATGTCAAGGGTTTCTCCCTGTGCCGTAGGGTGGGGAACACATGGCAAAATTGGGCGGCGATGTCTAAGCGGACCAAAGCAATGTCTTCGGATTTTGGGCTTCCAAAAGGGTGGGAAGCATAGTGACCCTGAGTCGAGTCTCATTCAAGCAGCAGCCCAGCGGCACGCCCATTTCCTTTTTCGGGCTCGTGTTTCCGTTTGAAACACGACACCTCTTTGAGAAGTCAACCACCAAGTCTTGGCAGGAATTTGTGGATAGAAGCATCTTGGCGGTGAACCACCCAATCTACTTACATGCATCAGAGGATCCTGTCTGAGTTGGAATGATTTGCTCGCCTGAGATCGAGATTGATCCGTTCCTAGTCTGCTGCCTGATCTGGTCTAGTTGGGCAACATGTTTTTTTTCTTTTCCTTTTTTCTGCCGCACAGCAGCGTGGCGGCAAACAGATAGCAGGTTGCTTCCAAACCGGAGTTCCCGGCCCTGGTGTTGGCAGAAGCGGCACGCTTTCATGCAGGGCATGTTGCCCAAAGCACCGTATGCATCATTTGTGTTTGATATGTATTGCAAGCAGATAGTTGCATGGAACATGTCAAGGGGTCATTGGCAACGTGGCCAAGCTTGAGAATGTTGAAAGCATTTGCTGGTTGTCATTTCAGTTAAGTGGCATCGCCGGGTTTTGTTTTTTGCAGAGACAAAGCACAGCAAGACACACATTCGAGGTCTCGGGTCATGTCCTGGGTGTGTGTGTGTGTGTGTGGGTGGGTGTGTTTCAAGACGAGGGAACCCTTGTTGGATAATGTGCGTGGAAATCAAGACACCGCCCACAAAAAATGAACCGGTCCTTGATTCTGACACACCCCTGTCACCTTGTCGAACAACTCACAGGAGAAGCAGCTGGCAGCCACCTACTGCTGTTCACAAGCGGAGCGAGCAAGGCGCGAGTCACTGTGGCTTGTCTCCAGTCCTGGAATCGCCTTGCCTTTGATCTCCCTTTCGAACAACCTCGAAAACACTCGCAAAAAAGCATTGCGGATTCGGTAGGGTCAGTGATCCTTCCAGCTTCAGGATTCCCGAAGGCACCATGGCCATGGCTTTCATTTCAGACTTGAGCATGGCAAAAGTCCCATGCGGAGGCGCCTTCCACCGAATTGCGGGAACCGGACGCTCTGCCGGGTGGTTTCCCTCATGCCCAGGGAACTGTTTGAGGATGGGCGCCAGGCCGCCGTTCCTCTCGCGAAACGGGAAGGAGCTCGTCTTAGGCAAGAAACGGGGCCGCGGGTGGTGCTTTTGACCGCCCTGGTTGGAGTAAGCTGAGCCTCCGAAAAGTGGAATACACATATCTTGGAAGCTTCACATGTCCCAAGGTCAGCCAGAAGGCAAGCCTGCGAGTTAATGGCTTCATGAAATCGTGATCCGACTTCCCTATAGATCCACCGTACGCGACACACGTATTTGTTTTGGGCAACCACTTCTTCATGCGGTGCGCTTGATACTTACCGGCGTTGGCTCCGGAAACTTTTCCGGCGTTCTCCAGCCCATTGGGCTCCAGAAGGCAAAATCTCCAAGATTGGGTCCGTCAATTCATTTTCCCAGTTGCCTTGCGGCATTTGTCTTCCTTGTGCAGGCAGGATTCCCTCTAGAATCTATCCACCAAAGACTGCGTCCTTCATTCTCGTGGCTATTGATCAAGCATTTGTTGCTTTTCCTTGCAAGGCTTTTCCAGAAGCCATGTGGGTGCGCCTGTCTTATTGCTTGCTTGCTTGCGTGTGTGTTTGTGTGTTTCGTTTCATGGGTAGATGTTGTATCGTTAGACGGTTGTTGTGTATTATTCATTTGAATTGTCTGCCTTTCTTATCATGATAGTTACCCTTGTGTTATTGTGTTATGTACACACATACGTACGTATGTGCGTATGTGTGTCGTTGTTTCTGTGTTTATATCTTCATGGATTGTGTATTGTGTTATTGCCGTATGTTAGTTGATTTATGTTTGTTTGTGTCTACTTACACTCCCTGGAATTAAACAGGAAGTCCGTGCTCTCAGAAGTCCCTCTAACATGGAAGTCCCTTCACCGTCTCTTCCTGGGGAAATGCCTGTCTTTTTTTATACTGGGAAGGTACGACCATCTCCTAACATAGAATCTGTGCCAGGTGCCCCTCGCCACGGCAATCCTGGGGTTTCCCAAAACAACCCTAGATTCTTCGGGGGGCCGGTTTCGAGCCTGCACTTCCATGTAAACGAAAAAACGAGCGTGAAAACACACGTTCTGACCGACGAAAGTATCCAAACATAGAACCTGAAAATGGGCCCTGCACTTCCATGTAAAGGAGAACACGTGTGCTTAACATGGAAGTGCAGGCTCGTCGTTTGCCCTATTGTTTTTCGGGGTCAATGGGGAAGCTATGATTATGTTAGGAGCAGAAGCGGCAAACGTCGTGAAGCGGCATTTCCCCGGTACGCTTAAAATTACGGTGTGTCCGCCCGCTAATGCCAACAATTGCTGTTTCCGAGTCAGTCTCACCCCCACATGCCCAGTCGTACGGCGTGCCTAGGTGGGGTTCTGGGCCAGTTCTGGAAGGGGTGTGGGGGGAGTTCGGTTTGTGTCAGGGGGGGGGGGGGTAGGGTTTTGGAGCAAACCATCGTCGCTGCGTGTTCTGAAATGCGGAAGCCGACCAAAAACCCAGGGATTTCTATGTTATCATTTATCAAAAGCCTGGGTTGTTTTTTTTCGACTAGCCTGCAAAAAAAGAAACAAAAAAGCTTCGGAGCTTCCTGTTTAATTCCAGGGAGTGTATTTATTTGTTGATTGCTTAAGATGTTGTTTTCTAGTTGTTTATTTATGTATTTGTTTGTGTTGTATTGCCTTGTTTCTTCGTGTCTTCCTTATTTCTGTCTTTGGCTCTTCCTTCATCTGGTTTTATGTCAATGTTGTTCTGTCTTTCTTGCTTGTTCTCTTTGTTTTTCGCTGTTTTGTGTTGTTTCTTTCTTGCTTTCTGTTGTTCTCCTGTTTATCTTTGGGGGCTGGTGGCCAGCCCGTGTGGCTTCTCTGCAGCTGGCCAGAGCTACAGCCATAGTCCAAGGGCAAGGGGCTGGGGCTAGGTGAAGCCCCAAGAACTGAGGGCAGTGGCAAGGGCGGGTGGTGGGGGGTTCCTCTTTGGCTGATTGAAGCACTTAAACTGAGGAGTGGGTGAGTGGCCAGCTGAGTGGCTGTTGTAGCTGAACGGCCCCGGAACTGGGCCTGCTTCAGCTCTAGTCCAAGCGACTGTGACAGACTGGAGCGGCCCCGAGCTGAGTGAAGTTTGAGGCTGTGACAGCGCGAAGCCTAAGGCCCGAGTGCCCGACCGCCCCAAGTTTGAGGCTCCTAGTGGCGGGCTGGGGCAGCAGTTCAGAGGCCAGTGGCCGGCTGTAGGTCATGCAAGGTGATGCTTTGCGCTCTGCAGCAGCAGGGCGCCCGACAGCGCCGAGAGGGGAGTCGTGCGCTTGTCCGCGCGAGCTGCGGCTCAGGCAGCGCGGCAAGAGGATGGGCCTTGTCCTTGTCGGCTTGTGCGCAAAGTCACCAAAGCGAGGAGAAGCAGGGGGGTGAACGAAGCAACCATGAGCCAAGAGTCAGCACCCGGTCAATGCCAAGCAAAGACACAGAGCGGTCCGACTTTGAGGTCGAGGATTGCGACAACGAGTTCTCGTTCTCGTTGTTGTACGCGCTCCCCTTGCGCGGTCAGAGGCTGGGGAGACATCGTTTTGCTTGCGGCTCGCAAGACTCACGGCCAAGCAGGGGCGTGGTGGCCAAGCAGCCGAACACGCAACACG